TTGAACTGCCAACTGCAAAGTCAGCAGTATAAGTCCATAATCTACTCCTCAGAAACCTTATATAGGGTACTATGAGTTAGAACTAACTCAGTGTCACTTAACAACAATTACAACATTCACATATGTATATATGAAACAAGTTAAAATAACAAAACACACAATTGTTGTTGTTGTTAAGTGCCATCGAATTGGTTCCAACCCATAGGAACCCTGTACAGGGTTTCCGAGAAGCAGCTGGTGAGCTTGAACCGCCAACCTGGCAGTTCAAACAGCTTTGCAGTCTAGCGCATTAACCCACAGCACCACACAAACACACAATAGTATAATGCATATAAAGGTCTTTTGTTATAATTGTGTTATAGATTTGTGTTTAATAGTAATGTATTACTATTAAACAGTCATCAAATTATTTTTTATAAAATTTATGTACATAAAACACATTTCAAATCATGTTAGAAAGTATCAGGATGAGTCAAAAATTATATGCACTTGGTTGTATTAAAACTCCCATCCATGTCTATGGTTAATGACAGCATTGAACATGTATGTGAAATGATTATATCAAACAGACAAGTGACAGTGGATTATGTGACAAATCCTTTGTAAAATACCCATGGCTCTGCCTATGAAATTATCCATTCCAGACTTGGGTTTTGAAACGTTTTGTGAGATAGGTACCGAAACAACTCATGGAAAACCATAAACAGAATCGTTTGGACTGCTGCAAACAAAATTTGGACTGATACTCAAAGGAACATAAAATTTCTTATAAAAAGTCTTTATTGATGGTAAGACATGGATTTATCACTGAGTCCTAGAGTAAACAGCATAATATGGAATGGAAATATCCACAATCGTAGACCAAGAAAAAATGCAAAAGTCAACCATCTGCTGAAAACCTCACAATTGGGCCTATCAATAACATCTGGCTAACTGGAGAAAAGAGTCCTGCTGTGGCATTGAAGGATAAGCAGTGGACCACAAGGTCAGTTTTAGCTGCAAGATCGGCAGTTCAAATCCACAAGCCACTCCCTGGAAACCCTCTTCAGGGTGACTATGAGTCGAAACAGGTTCAATGGCACTTATCAACAACAACAAATGGAAAAAAAGACTGATGTTTTCAAAGACTTCATTTTGCTTAGATCCACAATCAACACTCATCAAAGCAGCAGCCAATAAATCAAACAACATATTACATTAGGCAAATCTGCTGCAAAAGACCTCTTTAAAGTATTAAATAGAAAGATGTCAGTTTGAGAACTAAGGTGCTCCTGACCCAAGCCATGGCATTTTCAATTATCTCATATACATTTGAAAGTAGGACAGTAAATAAGAAACAATGGAGAATAATCAATACATTTGAATTTTGGTATTGGCAAAGAATATTGAAAGAAGCATGGACTATCAGAAGAAGAAATTTGTCTTGGAAGAAGTACAGGTAGAATGTGCCTTAAAGTGAAGATCATGAGACTTCATCTCTTGTACTTTGGGCACATAGTCAGGAGGGACTAGTCCCTGGAGAAGGATATCATGCAAGCTGGAGGGTCATCACAAAGAGGAAGACCCTCAATGAGACAGACTGACATAGTGACACCAACAGTGGGTTCAAATATAACAATTATGATAGTGGCACAGTGCATAGAGTCGCTATGAATCAGAACCAACTCAAAGAACCTAACAACAACAAAGAATTATTTTATTTAAAGAAACTAATGAATAATTAATTCCACTACTCATCTGTCAGTTTGTCTTACTGTGATGGCTTCTGAGTTGCTGTGATTCTGAAAGCTATGCCACTGGTATTTTAATTACCAGCAGAGTCACAAATGGTGGACAGGTTTCAGATGAGCTTCCAGATAAAAACAGACTAGGAAGAAAGAGTGACAAACTACTTCCGAATATTTAATCAATGAAAACCTTATGAATAGCAGAGAAACACTGCCAGATGTAATCCCAGAAAATAAGTCCCTCAGGTTGGAAGGCACTCAAAAAGCGACTGGGAAAGAGCTGCCTCCTCAAAGTAGAGCTGGGGCAAAACTCAAAATGAAGAGAAACAGCTGTAAACATACATTAATAATCAGAACATGGAATGTACAAAGTATGAATCTAGGAAAATTGGAAATTGTCAAAAATGAAATGGAATGCCTAAACATCAATACCTTAGGCATTAGTGAGCTGAAATGGACTGGCAATGGCCATTTTGAATCTTACAACCACAAGGTTTACTATGCAAGGATTGACAAATTAAAGAGGATTGGTGTTGCATTCATTGTCAAAAAGAACATATCCAGATCAGTCATGAGGTACAACACTGTCTGTGATAGGATAATATCCATGCCCCTACAGGGAAGACCAGTTAATACCATTATTATTCAAATTTACGCACCAACCACTAAAGCCAGTGAGGATGAAATAGAAGAATTCTACTAACTTCTACAATCTGAAATTGATCAAACATGCAATCAAGATGTATTGATCATTAGTGGTGATTGGAATGCAAAGTTGGGAGCAAAGAGGAAGGATCAATAGTTGGAAAATATGGCCTTGGTGATAGACATGATGCAAGATACCGCATGATAGAATTCTGCAAAATCAATGATTTGTTTAATTCAAACACCTTCTTTAGACAGCATAAGAGATGTCATGGACCTTGCCAGATGGAATACGCAGAAATCAAATTGACTACATCTGTGGAAAGAGACGATGGAAAAGCTCCATATCACCAGTCAAAACAAGGCCAGGGGCAGATTATGGAACATATGCAAATTCAAGCGGAAGCTGAAAACAACTCTGAGAGAGCCAAAATATGACCTTGAATATATCCCACCTGAATTTAGAGATCATCTGAAGAACAGATTTGATACATTAAACACAAAAGACCGAAGACCAGAAGCATTGTGGGATGACATCAAGAACATAATACAGAAAGATAGCAAAAAGTCATTAAGAAGACAAGAAAGAAGCAAAAGGTCAAACTGGATGTCAGAAGAGGCACTGAAACTTGCTCTCCAGCATATAGATGCTAAAGCAAATGGAAGAAATGAGGAGGTACAAGAGCTGACCAGAAAATTTCAAAGGTCAGCACAAGAAGATAAAGCCAAATATTACAACAAAATGTGCAAATACTTGGAGTAAGAAAACCAAAAAGGAAGAACACACTCCACACTTCTCAAGCTGAGGGAACTGAAGAAAAAATTCAAGCCTCAACTTTCGTTACTTAAGGATTCTTTGGGCAAATTATTGAATGATGAAAAACACATCAAAAGAAGGTGGAAGGAATACACAGTCACTGTATCAAAAGAAAATGCTTGATGTTCAACCGTTTCAAGAGGTAGCATATGATCAAGAGCCAATCATACTGAAGGAGGAAGTTCAAGGTGCACTGAAGGAATTGGCAAAGAACAAGGCACCAGGAATTGATGGAATAAAAATGGAAATCTTTTAAGAGTGAGGTGGCACAGGAGACACTCACTCATCTATGCCAAGAAATTTGGAAGACAACTATCTGGCCAACAGATTGGAAGAGAGCCACATTTGTGCCCATTACAAAGAGAGGTGACCTAATGGAATGCAGAAATCATTGGACAATATCTTTGATATCCCACATGACTAAAGTTTTACTAAAGGTAATACAGAAATGTCTGCAAGCATACATTGACAGAGAACTTCCAGAGTCCAGAAGTTTAAGCCAGATTCAGAAGATGCCGTGGAATGATGGATATCATTGCTGATGTCCGATGGATCTTGGCTGAAAGCAGAGAA